CCCAAGGACTCCACAGTTCAACCCTGAGCAACACATATTTGCCTCTATTGGCTCTTAATATTAAAAGTATCTCTACTAAACCAGAGTGGGCAATCTGCAACACCTAAATTATATGTTCTTTGTACTTCGTCTGACCATGATTACTGAAAATGGATAGTTCTGACAGAATGTGTGAAGCCCTTAGCCTCCCCCAATCCCCCAATGTCAAATATAGCACCTGGGCAAAGGGAGGTTGCTTACCCCTGCATGTAGCATTTGACTGATCTTTTCTAGTCTCAGAAGTTAAGCTGGGTTAGGTCTGGGTAGTACTTTGATGGGAGACTTCAAAGAATCCCCGGGCAGTGGCTAGACTGAAAAGTTGGAAGCAGTCTCAGAAAGTGGCAATGGCAAATCACTTCCACACCCTTGCTAAGAAAATTCTGTGAATGTATCCATGAAGTCACGGGAGTCACATTCTGCTTGAAGAAGACCGGACCTCAGACTAAGGCCCTGCAATATTTTCAGCCTCCAGGTGGCACTGAGGGTCACAGAGCAATCCAAGCAGTGGCTGAGGTGGGGAGCCTGCGCTGTGGGCACTTCAACCACAACTTCTTAAGAATGAAAAATATTAGGAAGGCTGGGGTGTCAGGATGGGCTGGATGCAATCCAAGTTTTGTTTTCTTGAGTACTGGTTTCCTCTCCTCCCGCTCCAGCCCCCAAAGATAGATATTCATGACAATGGAAAGGAAGTTGCAGACCTGTATTTTTGCCTTTAATCGCTCCAACATACACACATTTTCCTAGAAATGATTTCCCCACAGAATAAATGTACACAAATAAGTTAATAATTAACATGGCAGGATTGGGTCACAGACAGGCTCTAGCTGGAGGGGAGGCAATAAATAGGAAGAGAGGGGAAAACTGGAAGAAAGGGGATTCCAGAAGTAAACATTTGTCACCTCACAGACTGTTTTTCAGAACTGTGTTCCAAAGGACTTCAGTGGTGAATCAGATATTTTTCCAACACACAGCTTGATAAAGGCGGACGAACCTCCCACAACGACTGAATTGCCCTTCCAATGCACACTCAAAAGTTCTAGGCTGTGTGCACAGAACGGAGGTGAGGCCCAGCAGGTGTGGCTGCTGGCCACACATGTACAGACAATGCACTTTCAAACATGCCCTAAAACAACTTTTTTAACCACATGCAGGGGATCCTTGGCAGATGCACGGAGATGGGAAAAGTTCCCCGAGGGTAGACATTTTGAAAAACCCTGAACTAGCAGAGTCCACAGGAGGAGGAACATGGGGTGTGGGCAGGGGGGGGGGGCAGTCCACAGTGCATTTCCAGGTTGCAAAAGATTTATGAGGACCGTAGAAAAGAAGGAACATGATACCCGTGCCTGGATCACATGAAGTAATCACTGAGATCCTCTTGACTGCAAAGGACCCACTAATGTCTTTTGAACCATCCACCAATTTGCATGGATAATGCTGCCCTCCAGCCATAAGCAATGCCAAGCTTCCTCCAAGTATGGCTTTAAAGCTTTAAAGTTTGTTTCTTCAGCCCTCTCAACAAGGCAAAGAAAACTTAGGTAGCAAATGCCCACAGCTTATGGCCATGAGGGTGTACCTTCTGGATACAAGACCCCTGGCTTTGCTGCAGCACAAACGCAACCACTCTCTTCTTTTTCAACACAGACACACACGCACACACACGTGCACATACACACACCCTTTGGCCAAGAGAGCTGAGTTAAATTTAGGAATTATTCCAATCCATGATTGAACACATCAGGGAGCTGGCCATGTCTTAACTGGCCAAAATGAGGTCATGGAGTATAGCCCTTTCTTCCCTACGTCCGGCCGGTGCGTGTGAGTAGGGTGCAGACGCAGGAAGTGTCAATCCGGATCCAGCGCCAGCCGACGATCTTGTCAGAATCCATAGTCAGAGCCCTCACGTAAGACTGTTTCGCCTTGCACTCAGAGATCCAGTGGCGTCGGTCCACGCCCCGGCAGCCACTCACGGTTCCTCCAGCTGGATTACACTTGGTCTCAAAGAAATACTGCCTGAGGGGGCCTGTAAGCGTCTGGACCTCAGACAGCACTGTCACCGTTTTGCCGCGGATGTCCACAGCCGTCCGTTTGTCTGTCACCCACACATTGACACTGTCACATACAGACATCTCTCCCCGGCGTAGGGACCCTTCCAATGACCGTTTGGACTTAAGTGTCCTGTTAGCAGCTTGCCCAGGCTGGGCACTGGAGTCCTCCATGAGGAAAAGCAAGGGGGGCTCTGCAGGAGCTTGGCTGGACAGGGTGACACGTGGAGAGAAGAGGTCCCAATCCCTCAGGGGAGCCTCGGCCCAGAGAGCATCAGTGGTGTTAGGGAGGATATAGGTGTTGGGAAGGGGGGCAGCCTGGATGACACAGAGCAACGGGGTGACCATGGCATGGAACAGAATAAGCATCACTCCCTACACAGCGGGGACCTGTGCAGAAAGAAGAAAGCAACAGCAAAATTATATTGATCATCCGCTCTCAGCTCTTATTGTCTTCCTCCTCTTTTTTCACCGTCCTCCACCTTTCTAGCTGGGCCAATTCCATTCTAGGACTGAGAGAACCGTTATCTGAAAGGATCTCAACTGGCACAATTACGGCAGCCATCTTAATTCTTCCCAGAATGCAATGCTTCAAGATTCCATAAAAGCATCTCATTGTGGGCAAAAGTAAGCATGGGTAGCCCATACAGATGCATGCCAGCAGCCATGTTTGTTTTTCTTCTTATGTACAATGCCTGAGAACAATGGAACTTGCAGAGCATCATGTTTTCCAGTACGTGCTTCTTAGCGTTCAGACTGGAGACTCACATCTGCCCAAGGATGCCCAGACTGGACTCAGTTTATAAAAGAACCTGAGGCTGTCAGCAGAGGAATCACCTGATTAGCAGACTGAATACAGCCCAGTGTTCACAGTTGTCAGTAATCAGCTACAATGTGCTGAAAGTACTAAACTTTGAGATAAAACAGACTAAAGAGAGATCTTTCCAGTCTCACTTGTAAAAAGTTCAGCCTAGCCCAGATTCCAGTAAACTACATTTCTTACCCATAAAAAAAAAAACAGTAGATTTCTCATCTCTCACCAATTCTTGTTATTCATTAGTATAGTTATAATAAACAATAGAGTACTGCATGCTTCAGAAATGATTCAGAAATCTTCAGACCTCACATGAGCACAGCATCTCTCTGCTATTCATTAAAGTACAAACATCTTTTTTTTCAGGCTCCAATGTGAGCCTGAAAAAAGATGCAGCCGCTTTAAGAGTTAAAGATGCACTCTTGAACAATCTAGTTCATTAAAGGAGCAGCATCTTTTTCAGGCTCAGACAGATTTCATGAATAGTAGAGAGGCACTGTGCTCATGTGAGATCTGAAGCCATTCTGAATCATTCTCAACGTGTGCACAACCCTAATAAATACAATCAACATATTTGCTTCCCCCAAAAAGGAAAGGAATCCAACTTGGTTCAGCAAAGCTGCAATAAAAGTACACAGGCAAAAGTGGTGGAAGGATTACCTGTGGTTCAAGCCTTCCTTCGGCCACAGTCAAGCAGATCCTGGGCTTTATTCATGACCCTCCAGACTGGGGCCTTGCTTGGATATTTGCTGATGCAGGCCAGCGTGTGTTGTGATGATAGTATTTTTGTTGTCCTGTCTCTAGCAGGTACTTGTATCTCCTTGCTGTTCATGTGTCTGAAAGATGGGACTTCTCAGGTCCCATCAAATCTCACGCCGCATTCTTGCTTCTGCTGAGATAGCAAAGAGAACAGTCCCTCACTCAGAGGTAAAAAAATTGCCTCACTGTTGAAAAGGGATGGCAATAAGAAGATGTGGAGGAACGTGGACTTGGCTGAGAATTTGATGTCACTCACAGGATCTGGCAAAAGAGAGAACAACAGCCTCTCAGTGAACAGGAAACAAGCACCCTTAAACTACCATCCTGCCGGCTTCAGTCCTCCAGCCCAGTCTGTGATCCTCTGCCATCTAAACGTGTTGGACTATAATTCCTATTTCCCCCAGCCAACTAAACTGATGGGGGGTGGAGGGGAATAGTTGCCACCAACAGCTGGAGTACATCAACTTGTAGAAACTGCTGCAGTCTGCAAAGATCTTAAAGGCTTCTAATCTACTATAAAATCTAGCAGGCTATAAAATCTATATACTTATAAAATCTAGCAGATAGAAATCTCAATAGGCTGGTCAGATAGATGTTGCTCCTATACCTTGAAAACATATGAAGATGAATGTAAATTAATTTTTCTCTTCTACATTGAACATCACTGGTATGCAAGCTCCTAACTGGGACATGCTATTTTGAAATTGCTTATATAAATAAAACCATGTTCCAGACTTAAATGGCCTCAGTTTAGATCCAGGTTAAAGCTGGTCATACTTGTTCCCATTGAAATCCTGAGTTAATGTTCTGTTTTTCAACTATCATCTATTTACAAAACCACTGTCTTCTACCACAAAGCATGAAAGCTGTAATTGCTGCATCTGGAAGAGCCAAAGGGGACAGAAATTTAGGCTTTTCAGAAAGAATAAGCTCCATAATCACATCTGAGACAATGGGCCAAGACAAATGGAAATGCTCAAAAGGTGCTGAGAAATTTGCTGCAAATATTTAAAGAAACTGCCTTTTACAAGTTGGATTCCTGGCACTGATTGCACATTTGTACAACTGCTGGAAAAAATATTCCCTACTGAGTCTCACGTGTGTGTGTGTGTGCCTTCGAGTCAGTGTTGACTCCTGGCAACTGCCTGGACAAGTCCCTGCAGTTTTCTTGGCAAGGTTTTTCAGAGATAGTTTGCCATTGCCTCCTTCCTAGGGCTGAGAGAGAGTGACTGACCCAAAGTCACCCAGTTGGCTTTGTGCCTAAGGCGGGACTAGAATTCATGGTCTAGCCTGATGTCTTAACCACTACACCAAACTGGCTCTCACCGATTATTTTTTTATAACCACCTAGCTAAACTGCCACCCTCCAAATATGTTGGACTACAATGCCTATGCCCCCTCCAGCCAACACAGGCTTTCAGTATACTGGCAGGGATGCTGGGTGTTGCATTCCAACTTTAAAAGTCCCCCCCCCCCACAGTTTGGAAAAGCCTCCAGAGCATTTACCCTTAATCCCCTAACTGGTACCATTCAACTCCCAGAACACCTAGTCAGCATGTCATTACAGATCGACACATCTGGGGAAGCAACACTAGCTAGAGGAAGGATGCCCCAGAGAGAATAAAGAAAGGATTATTCAGAGTAGGAATTCAATTCCAAGGTCTCCTTCATAAATCTTTCTTGGGCCAGAGATTAAGAACATTCTCCTCTTGAACTCACAAGTCAAGAAGCTGAACAAGCCATGAGGTTAGGGACTAGGCCCCAAAGCATCCACTCCCTGTGCCCTCCTGCAGCACCTGCCTTGGCCACCAGAAAGGGGACTAAGACTTATTAAGCACCTTTCTGCCCATCGCTCTATCCCGTCCCAAGGGCAGCTGGGAAACATCAGGTGACGCCTGCAAATTCTACAGCTGCTGACGGGAGCTAGGGGAATGGGATCCAGATGTAGTAACATCTGGGGAGGACTACCACATGGGGGATGGGGTTGGGAGGGTAGCTAATCCCTCCTGCCTTTGAAACTGACACTGAGGGAGTCTACCTCCCCTCCCTTTCTTCTCTCCCCCCCCCACCCCCACTAGCCTAGGCTGAGCTGAACCCATGCAATGTATGCATCATCTCTAAGGCTGGAGTGGGGAGGAATAGATGGGGGGGGATGAGGAGTATGTGTGGCCAGAGAAACAAGCTCTCTTGTTCCATCTGAATGGCGGGGAGAGAAAAGAGGTATAGGATAAAGACTGTAAAAGACTGTAATATAAGAAAAAGGGTTTGCTTTTAGAACATATGCAAGTACATGCCTATCTCCCCGCTTAATCCACTAAATCTCCTGGTCTCCCAGAAAGAGTGTGACCTAGTGGGAAGAAGAGTGAGCCAGAAGGGACAGGGAGATAATGAGTAGCTGATATTCCTACTTTGCCTAGCGAAGGGTAGCACAGAGAAAGAAAAAATAAAAAGAGGTGACTCCATAGAACAGTAGAAATAGGCAGAGCTCTAATAGGGAAGGGCAGAGAGATGGAAAGGACAAAGTTTCTGCTGTTGCTTTCCTTGGTGGTAGCAAGAATAGCCTGGGAAAGACCCTAGAATACTTTGTTCTCTGACTTACAGCAGGCTGAGGCTTGGGCTCCTGGGTTCTGTGGAAGGGGAGTGGTGCCTAGTGGCTAAGCAAACAATTTTTAAGAGAGTTAAGCCTGACCCTTAGGCTATTTGCATAAGCATTTTTTTCCCACAATGCCCAGCGCTCATGACCTTGCTCCCTCCCATGGGAAAGAGAGGGGGCTGTGGGGGCTGTGATGTGAAGCTGCAGGCACTTAAGGCAGGGGAACCAGCCCCTGCTCCGAGGAGGTATGTGTAGCTTAGCGCCGGGCAGGCTCCAACCTGCTGCTTCTGCCACAATACCACTCAGCAAGCAGGGAGCCTTAGCTATGTCAAAGATGTCCACAGTTCTGGCTTGTTGCTCCATACAGAAAGCTCTTGGTGTTCCATTCATTCATTCTTTCCTCTTTTTTTTTCCTTTTCTGTCTGGTAATATGACAGGGAGGAATCTTGGCCTTTTTAGGTATTTTGGCAAGAATCACATCTTAGCATGCATGAGTTTCTGCCTGTAGGGAGCCTGAAACTCTGTGTAATACAATCAAGATTCTGCTGTCAGTTTAAACGAGATGAGCATTCAGTGCTTCCCAGCTCCCTCCCCGCCTCTATTCCAAAATATAGTAGAAGATTCACCACTGGCCTCCCCATGTACCCATTAACGTCAGTGGAGTTCACGTGCACTGAGCTTACGTCTCCACATGGTTTGATTTGTTTCGGCTTAGCGTCTTGCATTATGATTTGCGACCCTGATTTATAGTTAATGTACTCTTCAATCCCAGCCAATAATGATTTATTCAGTAAATTACAATTAAGCTTTGACTTGGCATAGTGGGCAAACCAACCTAACCTCTGCTTAAAAGAAAGCTGAGATGTTGACCACCCTAAAGTCTATGCCTGATGTTTATAAATGATCACTTGAGACATTTGGACATATGAAATGCAAGCCACCTAGGTTTTTATGCAAATGATTATTTGCTTAAACTGGCTTTTCCCTTTGAATTCAGGGAATCTCCACAAGATATGGTAAAAAATGTCAAGAATGTGGCCACAATGGCAGGATCAAAGCCCTATCCTTTTTTTCTTTACCTACGCCATGACGTACATAAAAACAGGCAGAGCTCCAATCCCATCATTGTGACTACCCTCTTGATTTTTTTGGCTACAGCCTGTTGACACCCCTGTCCAAGTCTCTGTCCTGGATCTACCCACCCACCTCTTTTCCCCTTCAGAGGATAATATTGCCATACCTGACTTGCAGGCATGAGCCAAAAAGTCCAAGATACCTGAATGAGGTAATACCCACTCCCATTCAGCTCTGACTGTAGAGGAGGGCTCTGGTTTCTCCCTTTGTAGTAACCCTTGAGATACCTCAGTCCAATAGCTTTGCACACAGAGATCTTAAGGAGTCCTAGAGGAGAGACTCTAGGCAGGACCTTGGACTGCTTCTGAAGCTGAGGACGACTTTGGGACTTAAGGAGTCACTGAAAGAAAGAGCCCAAACCTCTGGATCACACAGCTCAAAAATCTTTGATCAATTTGGACTAGGATGCAGTCTGGATGCACAGATCCAAGAGCTGCCCTGAAAGTTGGCCTCAGAGAGAAATCAAGTAACTACTAGAGGATCTCTGGCATCTTAAAGGAAAGCAGACCAACAGGAAAGGACTTCTGGGGTGCTAATGGCTTAATGATAGGAATACTGAAATGACTTGTTTCACCTCAATTAAGTGGAAGAAATGAAGACAAAATGGGTAGCCGATAGTGGGCTTTTTTGTGAAAGTGACAGTGACCTCAGAACTGAAAACCAACCTTGAAATTCAGAATGTGCACAAACTTACTCTGTTCTTGAATTCTATGTTGTTTGCAACATTCTTTGATTCTAATAAACTGTTCTCAGTCACCAGGTTGGGCATCTAAGTATCAAAATAGATTGAAAACTGGGCTTATTCAAAAGATGGGTGGGGATGGGGAATCTAGGAGTTATTACTTTAAGATTCCACTTAAGCCGTGATTTATATTTGGGAGTGCAAATTAGGAAGAACACAGAAGACACACATCAACACTTTCAACTTTTGTTTCAGCGATATGCAATTATTCCCATCTATCTTTCTAGCACTATTTATACATACCAATGATGAATACATATCTCAAAAGCACAAATGTACATGTACATTAAAGGAAAAGTCACTGGCTGACTTGTACTGAGTATATAACACAGAGATATATTTTAATATCTCCTCCAGTCTTGATCAAACTATACTTAATCATTAATATGTTATCTGCAATTAGTTGTGTACAATATAAATGCATTCAACTGCTCCTGACTGGTGCCAACAACTCTTGAATCGTATGTCCCACCAGTATTGCTGAGAAATTGTTTCACCCCACTTAATGTGTTTCAATGAAATGACACTCTTGCCCACCCCGATTAGAAGATTGGGAAGTGGGAGAAAGTGTGCAGATTGTAGTGGAGGAGCTGTTATGACCTCTCCCATATACTTACTCTCTAAGTATACTTACCAGCTTGTTTAGGGGGGTCACCCAAATGAGTATTTGTACTCAGGCCCCATCTCCTTTCATCAAACTCATGAATATTTAACCGAGATTGTTTGAGAGCTGTTCCTGACTGGTGTTCTCCAGATGCATCACCATATAATACCCAGAATTTCCCAAAAGTGTGGAAATTAGTTCTGCTAGTTAATTAGTCAGAAAATTTGGGAGTAGTAGTCTAAGCCATTTGAAGAGCATCACACTGGGGAAAGCTGGCCTCCAATCTATCACGAGGATCTTTAACTCCTCTTCCAGTCTAGCAAGCAGTGACTTTTAAGTACAAGGCTGACTTTATTTCCTACACTTTGGATGTCAACATTCTCATCCACCTTCCTCATTAGCATTATAGAAAGCATGTTCAATTGCTAGCTTGGCTTAACTCAAAGCCAAGGGAGGAGATCTTGCAGTGGGGAAGCAACCCTGTTTTCCCTTAGTATTAGATCGCCCTCCCTTGCAAGGCACCCAGGCATCCTGCTTTCCATCACCAGCAGGTAATCCAAACCAGGCGGCCCGAGGGGCAAAGCAGGCAGGGATATTTCCGCTTTTCTGTTGGCCTCTCCAGCTGGTTTCCATCTAGTCTTCCTCGTAGGCAAATGTGGGAATGTGTAAGATGGCATATTGATTATGGCTGTATCCTTTCCCTCTCCCCTTGCCACCCATTTACCTGGAGGTAAGCAGACTAGCGTGAGTTTTCTGAGAGGGGAAGAAGGGCGGCCTCCCAGCGGAGGAGAGCATATGGGTGGCGGGGGGTGGGGGGGAATAGCGCCCGGTTGCTGGCTGGTGTGCTTTACAGGAAAGTCGCTACCAGGTGGTGGTGCGGGCCTCCTGATGCCCTAGAGAGAGAGTTGGACTTCTGGCCCGAGAGCAGCCGCCTCGTCAACCTGATGCCCTCTGGAGGAACTGGGCGACAACTGCCCGCATCTTTCAATCAGTTTTCCGGCTAGGAGCGAGGGGCGCTCGAATCCCACCCAAGTGGAGGGCGCCTGGTCGAGGGAGACGGTTTCGAGAGTCCCTCTCCGCCGCGACTCGCCTCCTACCTTTAAAGTGCCCCGGCCGCCGTCCTCCTGCCCCTTGGCGCAGGGTGGGGACACAGCCCTCCGTCTCCACCTCCAGCCAGGCGGACGCCTTCTTTGGGTTTCCAGACGCCAAGGGGAGCTCGGCGCCGTCGGGATCCCATTCCCCGCTTTGCCGTTCAGGCGAGCGCACGGGAGGCTACTGGAGTTTGAAGCAGGGGGGTGTGGAAGGCGAGAGCCGGCGGAGGCTCCGCTCCCCAGCTGGAGGTGGGGGAGTGGGGGAGAGGAAGAATGAAGCGGCGCCGCTGCGCGTGGGGGAATGGGAAAGACCCCGGCGGAGAAGGACCGGCGGAACTGGTTTGGAGGTGCCGCAGATGGATGGAGAAGGAAGGAACGAGCAGGAGGCATCGGATGGAGGAGAAGCGCCGGAGGAGGCGGGCGGCCGCGCGGGGGAGGGCGCACCGAGGTGCAGAGAGCGAACGGGCAG